CAGACATATTTACAGGGTCTAACTGATGAATAAACAACCCATAGCAAGCGACTGACCTAGGAGGGGAAAGTACAGCACCAAGTTGTGGGAAATACGCCCTCAACCACAATTGGGCCGACCAAAGAGGTCCACTGCCTGTAGGGGAGGCATTATTCTTTAATTGAAATTGAAGGGAAGCCATTCCTCTATAAAGAGCAACCAAAAGGAATGAACATAAATTCAAGGGTCGACCACGTGCTAATTCGTGTGATATGTGCAAATAACTCGTAGAGGGCTTCAGACAAAATTATAACTAAAATATGCAACTTATGCAATTAAGAGTAAATTAACTAAAATAAATGCAAATTATTCTAAGTGCAACTTAACATGTTTAATAAATGACAAGCGCACTAGGATCCTGAATTCCTGTGCATTAATCATTTTTAACTTAGTTTTACACGTTGACAACACGATTGAATTTTTGATGAATCAATGTTCCTATTTCATTTAGCAATCTCTCAAAAAGTAAGATTAAATCAATTTTTATATATGACCCAATTATATTTCTATGACGGATGCGACCATATAAAATTGCATGAATTTTTATGAACATTTACAGATTCATATAGAGTATATCGATATACTTCTATCCCCTATCCGACCCTATGACAATTTATAGATGTAAAATCTATTTTTCTTTTTTCGAATGTATAAAATAAGCCACCACATTCACACAACTACCGTGTACAATAATTGTGGAGAAAATAAAACTATATAAATCATTCAATATTTAAAAGCGTGTTTTTAATGTAAGTATGTAAAACTAAAGATTAGAAATTCATATTGCATGGTTGATTGTTCTCCTAATACAAAGAAAACTAGAATAACATGTTATGAGAAATAAAACAAAAGAAAAATTGAAAAATCAACATCATCCAAATAAAGTTTTAATTTAGTCTTCGAGTCTTGGAATCGATCTTCGTGTTTTTTGCCTCCTTCTATGTTCCCAAAATCTCTTAAAATGTGTTGTAATGTTTGATCACTACTTCTAAACGGTCCTAGGTTTTTAAAAGACGTCCCAAGATTTGTTTCCATAAGAGTTGAAATTATATTAAAAAATCAGATTTTTTTCCAACTTAGCTAGGGCGGACGCCTAGTAGGATATGGGGCAACTACCCAGGCATAGCTAATGGCCCATGTATTTCAAGTTTAAGGTCGGGTAGCCGCACAACCAATATAATTGAGCGGTTGTCCAGTTATAAAAATTTCACTAATTTTCCTTTTTGGCATTTTCTTTATTCTTTCTTCCATCTTGGTCATCCACATCAAATTACTTCAATTTTAGTGCTTAAACTTTTATTCAAATGCATATTAGTCTATAAGCTTCAATCCATTGACCATCGATCATTCTTTCTTTTTTAATTGCTTAGAAACGAGTCCAAAACTGAAATAAAATAAAATAAACTTAAGTTAAGTTAAGTAAAATATAATACTAAAAAGACACAAAAGATTAGTAATATGACCTTAATAAGTGCACAAATATGAACTCATCAAATACTATCAAACTAAAACTATTGTTCGTCTTCGAACAATCATATAATCACCTATTGCATGTCATATTAGAAAGAAATCAAAAATAAACAAATAATAAAAAGACAGGTGAATGGATGGGAGATGATGCTTTCTAGACAAGAATTTAGCATAAAATGCATAGAGTATTTCTTAAAAAAAAATATTCTTGGGTCTGCCATTTGTTAGGGTGGATGGAAGATCCGTAATTTATTCTTTAATTTAGAAAATGCAATCGGACACCAACTCGTTCAACTATATATTAACAAAACTAACTATATATTCAGCCACATGTGCGAGTGTGAAAGGCTGCCTAACCGTCTTGATTATTTTTCTATGAATATCGATTATATTAAACATTCCATTTCACAAGCCATTTAAGAATAAAATTCCTCTTGAATAAGTATGCCCCGTTGGAAACAAAACAATCCCCACTCGCTTCTTTCTATACGAACCAAACTCAGACCACTGAATGAGAAAACTAGGATTTGTTTGTTTTCGCTTCAAAAATTATTATTTTTTTCAATAATTCCACATGGCATGTCTTCTATGGCCAAATGTCTTTCACATGTTGAGTTGTAATTTAATTTAATAGTTGGTTAAAAATAATTTTAGAAAAAAACTTTTAGCAAACAACATCTTAGAAGTTAGAAATGTAACAGAAAGAAAAATGAACAAATCGAGCTTTTTTTTAAAAAAAAATGAGAAATCACATAAATATAGCAATACAATACTGAAGATAAACAAAACACGACGAGACCGAATGTAAAAATGGCAACTCCTCAATCTTTAGCTCAAATTTGAATCTCAATCTTTAAAGCTCTTTTTTTTTTTTCAAATATATTTTTTCAATTAAATAATTTTGCACATAAATTCGAAATTTTTCCTATTTGTTAATCATGCATTTTCAAAAAAAAAAAAAAAAAAAATTATTTTTAACAAAATTTAATCTAAAAAAATGTTACTTACCCCCATTTAGATTCATTTTCTAGAACTCATTTTTAATTATTTATTCTTAAAATTTATAATTTTATCTATTTTTTAATCATATATATTTTTTAACTTTTATTAAGATTTACTAAAAATTCAACTTTGCACCAGCAATGCTTGTTGAGCAGCTTGAACGCATGCAGGTCGAAAATACTAAAACACCCCCAAAATTAATCATAACACAGTTTCACAATCCGAAATTCATCTGGTCAAAAAAGTAATTTCGATTACAAACTCGAGTATAAAACGCCGTTGCTTCACCTTAATCAACTTCACCAGATCAGATCAACTAGGTTCACTCGAAACATAGCAAAATTGCCAATCCTATCATCTCCGGTCTCGTTTCTTTCCAATTCAGAGGTTTATTTTTAGCCTCTGTTAAATTGATTTTTCTTCGGAAAAATAATTTTTCCGCCGGAAAACTCACTGGAGCTGGGAAAATTAGTGCTTCGTATGATGGGATTTTGTATCTGTCCTTTGGAAACTCCGGCGAGGTTGCTCTGGACCACTAGTTTCTTCCGCCACAAGCTCAGGCTGTTCTAATAAACTCAGTATCATATTATAATTCTTCACCGGAAAAAACATATACACACACTTCCCTGTGTATATTTATAGAATATATTGGTATTGAATTGCCGGAGATCAGAGAAAAGTAATGGAATTTAGCAGTATTTTCTTTGATCCCTCTTATTCTGGCAGCATGTTTCCCGGAAAGGGTGATTCGATTTTTCAAGGTAATTTTTTTTCTTTTTTTAATTTTTCTTTCTCACAATTTAACTATGCGCTGCCATATCTTAGTATTTGATAATTAAACTAAATTTTCGTTTTATTTAAACAAAAGAGAAGAAATTTTAATATAATTTATATAGTGATGTATGTAATGATTCTGTATATATAGCCTAATATAATTTGCAATGCTATAGGAGCAAAATCGGTGATGAACATGGAGGAAACTGCAAAGAAGCGACCGTTTTTCAGCACGCCGGAAGAACTGTATGATGAAGAGTACTTCGACCAGAAGTTGCCGGAGAAGAAGCGCCGTCTCACTCTTGAACAGGTCAATTGATTTGCAATCCTTATCTACTTTTCCAGTAAATTTAGATTGATATTCTTGCTTTTGATGCATATCTAGTTATTACCTTAGCCTCTAAAAATTCTTTTTTGATAAAAATATAGAAGGTATATTCACTTTCTATCTATATGGACGATATCAGCATCAAATTCCTTCTAATTCTAACTGGGAATTCATATCCACGGATTGCTGATTGTCTAGATGATTACAATTTGACGTGAACAAGAAAAAATTCTCCTATTTTCATGTAGTATGTAGTTACTCTACGCTTTTTGTTATAGGTGAACTTGCTTGAGAAGAGTTTTGAGGCAGAGAAAAGGCTGGAGCCGGAGCGAAAAACTCAGCTGGCCAAAAATCTGGGATTGCAGCCCCAACAGGTGGCAGTGTGGTTCCAGAACCGCCGTGCAAGGTGGAGGAACAAACAGCTTGAAAGGGATCATGATCATCTCAAATCCTCTTACGAGTGCCTTTTGTCCAATTATGATTCCATTCTCAAGGAGAATGAGCAGCTCAAAGCAGAGGTAAAATCACATCTAGCTAAATTCTTTTAGTTTTTGTACAATTTTCCTAGTTTCTGAATCCTCTTCTTTTTCTAGTTTTTTCCCTTCTCGTTTGATATTCATTTTTTTCAAATTCATGTATGCCTTCTATCAATATTAAACAGAATAATCAACAAACTTATGATTATATTAACGTGTGCAGTGTAAAAAATAATAACTTAGGTAATTAAAATTATCTCAGTATAATTTTTTGATCTTTCTTCTCTTGGGGCTGGGGGATAAGGTGAGGATT